CCGAGAGACGAGGGTAGGGTGAGCAAGGATTACTCACCTCCTTCACTGGTGTTGTGCAATGCCAGGTCTATAGGCAACAAAACCGCCACCCTGCGAGATTTCTTTATCTCGCTGGGGGTCGACCTGGCTTGTGTGACGGAGACCTGGGTGCGCGAAGGGGTAACTGTTACCTTACGAGAGATGGCGCCCCCGGGTTTCTCCGTCCTCCACCAGTCACGGACTGTGGGCCGGGGGGGAGGGGTGGCAGTATTAATCCGGGAAGATTGTCCTTTCAGGGCTCTACCATCGCCATCGATCCCCGGCATTGAATGTGTTGGCCTAGTGTGGGGCTCCGAGGAGAGCTTGGCTGTCTGGCTGGTGTACCGGCCACCTAGCGCACCAGCAGCCACCCTGTCAGGCCTGCTGGAGGCGGTGGCCGGCTGGGCCTTGGAGTTCCCTAACCTATTGGTATTGGGAGACTTCAACTTCCATGCTGATGCCACTCCCTCCTCACAGGCTCTGGACCTGGTGTCTTCCATGGCGACACTAGGGCTCTCCCAGTTTGTTTCGGGCCCCACACATCAAGCAGGCCACACGCTGGATTTGATCTTTGGCGCCGGTATAGATGTGATCATGTCTCCTTCGATGAAGGTGCCATGGTCTGATCACTACGCTCTGAAAGCCAGGATTGACTTTCCACCCCCACCCTGCTTAGGTGGCGAGCCAATTTGGGTTCGCCCGCAGAGGCTGATGGACCCTGATAGATTCCGTCAAGCCTTGCGGGACCTTGCTCCCCCTGGCGACTCATTGATTGAGCTTGTTGAGGGCTGGAATACCCAGCTCCTGGCAGCCATCGATGAGATCGCACCTAAGCGCCCTCTGCGACCCCGCAGAAACCGGGCTCCCTGGTTTACCGAGGAGCTTCGGAAAATGAAGCGGGACCTCAGACGGCTAGAGCGAGTATGGCGGGGCGCCTGTGACGGAGCCTCAAGAACATCTTATAGGGTTTTTATGAAAACCTATGAGATGGCAGTGAAGGCCGCTAAGAAGGCTTACTTCTCAGCCTCCATTGCATCCGCTAGCTCTCGCCCGGCGCAATTATTTAGTATAATTCGGTCTTTAACGTCCCTCGAAGGACAGCCAAATTTAAATAATAATCTGACACACAGCTGTGAGGCATTTGCGAGCTTTTTTGCGGAGAAGGTCCTGTTGCTCCGCCATGACCTCCCTGCCAATTTGGATACAATAAAGGAACTGGAGGCCCCTCGACTGTCCTCGGGTCCAGTATTGGACCACTTTGACCGGATATCTCCAGCTGATGTGGACAGATTCCTCCAAGCTGGAAAGCCCACCACCTGTCCTCTTGACCCGTGCCCGTCATGGCTAATTAGAGCGTGTCCAGACGAGGTGCGGGCCCCCCTGGGGGATATCATCAATTTGTCCCTTGGCACCGGGATATTCCCAGGGGAACTGAAGGAGGCGGTGGTGCGTCCGCTCTTAAAGAAAACATCATTAGATCCCTTAGATCTATCCAATTACCGCCCGGTCTCGAATCTTCCATTCCTGGGTAAGGTGATTGAGAGAGCGGTTGCTGAACAGCTCGGTAGGTTTCTGGATGAAACATCTGCTCTGGATCCATTCCAGTCCGGCTTCCGCGCTGGGCATGGGACCGAGACGGCTCTGGTCGCCCTAACAGATGATCTCCGCAGGCAGCTGGATCGAGGCGGGTCGGGGCTGCTGATTCTTCTTGATCTGTCAGCAGCCTTTGACATGGTCGATCACGAACTTCTGGACCACCGCCTTGCCGACGTGGGGATCCAGGGCACAGTCCTTCAATGGCTGCGCTCGTTTCTCTCTGGTCGGGGACAGAGGGTGGCGCTTGGGGGGGAATTGTCATCGCGTCACTCCTTGGTGTGTGGAGTGCCTCAGGGTGCGATTCTCTCCCCAATGCTTTTTAACATCTTTATGCGCCCCCTCGCCCAGCTTGTCCGGAGTTTTGGGCTGGGTTGCCATCAGTATGCTGATGACACCCAACTCTATCTGTTGATGGACGGCCATCCTGACTCGGCCCCAGACACACTGACCAGATGTCTGGAAGCTGTGGCTGGATGGTTTCGTGGGAGCCGGTTGAAGTTAAATCCTTCGAAGACAGAGGTCCTCTGGCTGGGGCGGGACGATATGGGATCGAGGGGGCAACTCCCATCTCTTGCGGGGGTGCAATTAGTGCCAGCACCGTCCGTTAAGAGTTTGGGTGTAATCTTCGATACCTCCCTCTCTATGGAGGCGCAGATTACAGCTATAACAAAGGCGGCATTTTTTCATCTCCGCCAAGCTAAGCAGTTAGCCCCTTATCTCTCTCGCCCTGATCTAGCCACTGTGATCCATGCGACGGTCACCTCCAGACTGGACTATTGTAACTCGCTCTACGTGGGGCTGCCCTTGAAACTGACCCAGAAACTCCAGCGGGTGCAGAATGCCGCGGCGAGACTCCTTATGGGGTCTTCGCTGCGAGATCACATTCATCTGGTACTATACCAGCTGCACTGGCTCCCGGTGGAGTACAGGATCAGGTTTAAGGTGCTGGTTTTAACCTTTAAAGCCCTATACGGCCTAGGACCCTCGTACCTACGGGACCGCCTCTCCTGGTATGCCCCACAGAGAAACCTACGGTCTGCAAATAACAACATCCTCAAGGTCCCAGGCCTCAGAGAGGTTAGGCTGGCCTCAACTAGAGCCAGGGCCTTCTCGGCGGCGGCTCCAATCTGGTGGAATGCTCTGTCACAAGAGACTAGGGCCCTGCGGGACCTGACATCTTTCCGCAGGGCCTGCAAGACAGAGTTGTTCCACCAGGCCTTTGGTCAGGGCGCAGCCTGACTCCCTCCTCTGGCAACCTGCACAGAATCTTGCCTAATCGGTTGCCAACAATTTGATTTTAATTAATTTTTATAATGAAATGTTTTTAGAATGTTTTTAGAATTTGACTGTTTGACTATTTGACTGTTGTTAGCCGCCCTGAGCCCGGCTTCGGCTGGGGAGGGCGGGATATAAATAAAATTTATTATTATTATTATTATTATTAATTCCCTTTTCTACACAACTCCTGAAAGACAAGGACCCTCTCCTCCTTTGCATTTGGTGGCATATTCCCTGAGCATATGTTCCAGAGTGCCAGCTACATAAACTCTGTTGCAGTAAAAACAAGAGCCTTGTGGCACTTTAAAGGCTAACCAATTTATTATGGCATGAGTTTAAGCTTCTGTGTTCACTTCAACACATGCATGAAATGTTATCTTCAGTTGGCAGGGATAACCACAAATACAAAAATAAGCAGAGAGAGAAAATAAGATGGTGAGACCATCATGACAAAGAAAAGTGAAGCTGCATCCAGCCAGTGTGGCTTTTCCTCTGATAATGGCCTTGTCTGTACTCCTACAGCAAATGTATTTTCCATCACTAGTTCTGAGCAGCAAAAGCATTCAACACACGCAATCTATGGACAGTAATTTATGCTAAAAAGATTGGCTAATGTTTAAAGATTGCTGGCAAATGTTTACTTCTTCTGCAACCTACCTGTTTCACCAGAAAACATAGTTTGCACTGATGTATCTAATGACAACATTGTATTTCACTGTGCAAAAATATAGTTTGATTGCACATAATGATATGAACACACTCATAAGCTATGATGGACTACAGCTCTGACAATCCTAAACACATTATTGCAAATACCTCCTATTCTGACATTTGAAGCCTACTCTGAACTGCGTTCCTTTAATTAGCCGTCTAAACTAATGTCTCCTGTTTCTCCAAAAATAAGGCATTTTCCCATAAAACTGATCTGGCTCAATGCCCAGGAAGGATAATAATCAGTCCTGGGCCAGTGACAGCTTTGAGGTCCACAGGCTCCCTGGGAGCACAGCAGAATTAGGCTCTTGCTTTCAGGCCTATTCCAAGACATTAGAATAATATGAGGAAACTTCCTTTGATTATTGTTCTGCTGTTTTTCTGCCAAATGATGATAGTGTGTGAAAGTCAAGCACCCTAGAAGTTTGCATTAACCTTTTGTTCATTTTATACTCCCTCAGAAGTCTTACTGACCTTGATGGTTTCACAAAACAGTTTTCTGTTATATTACAAGGAGCGCATAATTTTACATAAACATTGCATAGATGCTCCAGAGCTCAATAGCTTGCAGAGAGAAATATAGGCATGGGAGCTAAGTGCAGAGCATCGGTTTCCAAATATGACCCAGTGCACTGCTATAGGGCTGGTTCACACAAAACACGAAATCTTTGTTTAACACTACATGCACAGCTTCAGGTGAACTACTGTAAAACTAACTTACTGGAAGCCTGCAGTTGTGCTCGTACTAGGTTTGGTACAAGGAACTGAGAATAAATGTCACCAACCATCACAATTTCTATGATAAGAATACAAACCTCAGCAACTGTGAGATAAGCATTTCAACCTCTTGAATTCTTCTGCTGCTCAGATTTTTATCTCCTCCCTTTCACTCAATGATCTGCCTTTACCACTCTGATGACCTTGCTGTAGTAGAAGCAGCAGCAGCAGCAGCAGCAGAATAGAGGTATCTCCCCTCAGTTACAGCAATGACCAAGGTGCCAGAAAAACTGAGAAATGTAAAACAACATTTCTCAGTGCTCCTGCCATAGCAGCATCAGGCACTGGGGAAGGAGCAGAAAGATCCGTCCTTCACTTCAGCCCAAACAGCAAGGTGAATATGCAGATAGATGGGTGGTAGCAAGAGGAGTTTCAGAACAGTGGGTGGGATGGAATTGGTTTGGGAGCCTCACAAACATTCGGAACACAGCTGGGCCTGACCGCATGTCCCAATTCGGAATGTAATGGGTTCAATATATCTTAGATTGGCTCAAGAAGGATAAGCTGACAGGGATTCAAGGAAAACAGGAAGCAATTCACTAGAATTAAAGCATCTCCAAATTCCCATGTTAAGCAATGGCTAGTGAGCATTTAAAGGTATATTCCAAGTCGCATTGTACCTGATAAATCTGTTTAGAGACTATTGAACAGGAGTTCTGATCGGCAGATAAATTTCCATCAGAGATTACTAGTTTGAGTTTGGCATTGATTTCAGTGAGGTGATGGTATTCCAATGGCTCAGGTGTGTAACCTTCACCTGGTACTAGCATTGTAGTTGCTTCTTCCTAGAAAAAGGAATAACGAATTAGTCACACTATCTGGGCATATGAACTAGGACCAAAAAAAACCCTGCCATGTTATTTTTAAGAGAAAGAGATTCTCCTCAGCACAAATAAATGCAGATCTGATACGAAACCATGTGTGTTAAAATTTTAGTTCATCAAGCAACATCTCATAACCTTTCATAAAAATACTGATTATACATAACGCATAAAGGATAGGGGCAGTGCTTTTTTTCTAGGGAAAGAAGGTACTGGTACTGCTCAGCAGCAAGGGGGTTGGAGGGGATGCACTCTGCACCTGTTCAGAGGCACACTGCATCGTCGCTTGGGTGCCGACAAACAGGCCAACCATAAGAGGTCCACAAGTTTTGAGAACGGTTTTGCAAGGTCACCAGAAGAATGCTGATTACTGGCAGGCTAGAGGCTCTTATTCCTAAGAGTGCTTGGGGAAATACTAATTATTTTAAATTTCATTATAAAGCAAAGAGGAGACAAATCCCAATATATTAGGTACTTATGTACAAGTAAGATAAATAAAATTACTTTCTTCTTGTAGCCACTTTTGTAGCAAAAAAACCAAACAAACAAATCACTATTTAACTCTCACTACCCAGTACTCAGAAAATATCAGTGTGCACTCGGGCAAAGCAGTAGTGCTTTCATGTTACCAATAAGCATCCACACAGATGCAAGGTTCCACTCCATGTAAAATGTTATGCCACCACTGAAAACCAAAGAAGAATCCAGATCTGTACTAATCCTCTGAAATGGAGAGTACACACTACTGTTTTGGACCAACCTGGATGAATATCTGTGTACCTGAGTTACTTGAAGTTCACTGCTCTCATCTTCAGTATCTTTCAGCAATTCTGACAGCCTCTTCTTATCTTCCTCTGGCATAGCTACTTGGTTAACTGAATCCTTGGCCAGCTGAATAAAGAAAGTAATTTGGAAGCCTGAAGCCACTGAAGACTGATGACGGAATGATGAGCTTTTAACCTCCATTATGGTATTATAGTCTTTTATTATGTTTATATCTTTTATATTTCCATTTTTATTACAGTATTACACTTATGAATGAAAATAAAATAAAATAAAAATAATTTAAAAATAAAAATAAAATAAAGTCCAGCTGCTGCTAGCAAGCCACCCACTGCAATATATGATAACAAATGTGGTAGCTTATGGAGAATACTTTGAAAACTTCACATTTTTGATACAGAAGGATATGTATCAACAAATCCACCTAAAAGGACAAATGGGTTGCAGATAATTTTATCAGAAGGTGAAAAACTTTGCACAAATAATGGCTGACCTCAATGCTCAAACAACCTATAAACAATCAAACAACCCATAAGTCTTCTTTCCATTTCCTGACAGCAGAAAAAAACCACAGGCATAGCATTAGAAGAGCCTGATAGTACAAAATAAACAACATGGGCTCCATAAATGCCAGTTCAGTAGATTCTAGTATGTTTTCCCAGAAATACATGATTTAGCTGAAGTGATCAGCAATCTAGTTATCATCCTTTTCCTAAAAACTTCAGGCAGGCTATATATAGGATAACCTTTGTAGCAAAGTTAATCATCCATTATTAATTTCTAAATGAGTAGCATGATGAGACTTGACAAAGAGTTCTAATCCTGTACTTTGCCATACAGACTGTTAACACATACCTCTATGTTCTTTTTAACAAAATCAGTTTTTTTACTGGTTGTTTCACTTTTCTTAGTCATATTTTCCATTTTCTTTATAGAGCTTCTTGTTCTATCGTCACCTAAACAGCATGCAATTCAGAAAAAATATTCTAAAAGTATAACTGGGCAAATTAATAATTAAAAAAAACAATCAATTCATCCAATTTACCATTTCACTATCTACAGTACACAAATATAATTCAGTATTATTCATTTCAGACTATATTAATTTCAGTAACCTTTCAAAAATATGACTAATAAAATTAGATGGATTTCAGTGCAAAGTCATTTGTTACAGTCATGCACAGAATTTTCAAGCAACTAACTATAGCCTAATCCAGTAGTTCTCAAACTTTTGGGGGCCACCACCCCCTTATCCCCAGTGCCCCCTCCTATCCTACCCTATAAAAAGCATTCCTTAGAATAGTGGTTTGCACAACTTACTAAGGAAGATAACACAATAAAATTCAAAACAGTAACAATTTAATTGCACATTTATGCAAAACCCAATTAAAACTATTTAGTTTAAAATCAATTCAACAAAACGAATGAACTTGATCCAGTTATATTTATCTGATAGTCATTTACACCTCCAGTGCCCCCTGCCACCCCCTTGCCTCTTAAGTGCCCCCACTGGTAATCCCACCGCTTTGGGAACCACTGATCTCATCCTATCTATGCCTGAAGTTACTCCCATTATTTGAATAGTCCTTCCTTTAGCATAAACCGTGCGCTGCTCTGGTTTCGCCAGAAGCGGTTTAGTCATGCTGGCCACATGACTCGGAAAAACTGTCTGCGGAAGTGGACAAACGCCGGCTCCCTCGGCCTTCACAACTGGACTTAATTGCCAGGGGTCCCTTTGCCTTTACATTTAGCATAAATCTGCTCAGGACAATGACTGCCATTATACTTCAAATATACTGTACTTCCCACAACAAGAAAACACTTATGATTAATTCAAACCTGCAAAATTGTATTATGCTACATATTTCTGAATGTGCTATAAATTTGTATTTACTTCTTTAAACATTGCCTTTTTGCCAAAGCACTCAATACTCTAATAGCACTGCCTTCCTCATCATTCAGAAGGAAATGTAGTTAAAGGCACTACAAATATGATGTAGTAATTGCCCCAAAACTTTAGGAGATACAAATCCAAACTGCACTACATATCCGGGTAGGCTGCTATCTGCAACCCAGAGCTCTAACTGGTTTGTTTGTCAACCACAGGTCCCCAAGTTCATTGTAACAGGAAACTGTCTTCTGTTCAAAAGCAAAAGTGACATGCTTAACCTCCTCATACCTACAAAAGAGTAGAGAAGAGATGGGAGCACTTGAGTCTAAGATGCATGCAGGATCATTCTTGTAACAGGACAAGATGGTTACCCATTATGTCTAAACCAGTATCCCCAGGCAAAAGGCAGAATTGTCACTGAATCTATGGAACAAAGGTAAACTGATATAACCTGTACCTTGCTTGGTTTGTCTACTATTATTCCCATAATTTTCTGGATGAATCTGCGTGTGAAATACACTAACAAACATTTCATCTTCTTCAGCAGCAGGAGAGTCTGTTAATAAAATGTGGCATTAAATAACTGATAATTATTTACATTTCGGAACAAAAAGATTAAAGTATATCAACTTAATATTTGTAAGAATGGAAGCCTGTAAAGTTTCATATTGATGATTGGCATTGTAGTTAGCTTCAACGACCAGACCACTGGTAGTGTGGTGTGGGATCAAGGAGACACCTACATTGAGACTGAGCATCATTTCTTTCTCTCAACAGAATATACAATTATCTAGTTTTCACAGAAAGGAATGCCATTGTGCCACCTCTCCCACTCCCTAAAATTACCATTTCAGAACAACCTGGAAATATAATTACCGTATTTTTCGCACGATTGGACGCACCGGACCATTGGACGCACCTAGTTTTTTGGGGGGAGATAAAGGAAAAAAATTTCCCCTTTATTTCCCCCCCAAAAGCAGGTCAGGGAAACCGAACCAGGTCGAGGAACAGCGGGATAGTGGCGCTGCGCCTCCCTGCTGTCCCCCAAGCTTGTGGGGCTGGCCGATGTCTGTCCGGCGGGCGGGGAGCTCTGCTTCAGGGCGCCCCACCCGCCAGGCAGCAGGCTGCTATCCGCAGCGTGGGGAGCCTTGTCGGGAACTCCTGCAAGCCTCCCCACTCTGCGGATGTCTGCCTGGCGCGAGGGGCGCTCTGCTTCAGGGCGCCCCACCCGCCAGGCAGCAGGCTGCTATCCGCAGCGTGGGGAGCCTTGTCGGGAACTCCTGCAAGCCTCCCCACTCTGCGGATGTCTGCCTGGCGCGAGGGGCGCTCTGCTTCAGGGCGCCCCACCCGCCAGGCAGCAGGCTGCTATCCGCAGCGTGGGGAGCCCTGTGGGGAACTCCTGCAAGCCTCCCCACTCTGCGGATGTCTGCCTGGCGCGAGGGGCGCTCTGCTTCAGGGCGCCCCACCCGCCAGGCAGCAGGCTGCTATCCGCAGCGTGGGGAGCCCTGTGGGGAATTCCTGCAAGGCTCCCCATGCTGCGGATGTGTTCCCGAAGCGCCTGGAGCTCTGCTTTCAGGGCGCCCGGCGCTCCGGGAAGCAGGCTTAGCGGAGCGCTAATCCCGAAGCCCCAAGCTTCGGGATTAGCGCGGCGCTTCGCTAGCCCTGGGAGAGTCACGCAACGTCGCGGGGCTCTCCCAGGGCTAGCGAGACCTTGCCGGCACCCAGAAGCTTGGGGCGCGCTGAGCTCCGCGCGCCCCAAGCTTCGGGATTAGCGCGGCGCTTCGCTAGCCCTGGGAGAGCCACGCAACGTCGCGGGGCTCTCCCAGGGCTAGCGAGACCTTGCCGGCACCTAGAAGCTTGGGGCGCGCTGAGCTCCGCGCGCCCCAAGCTTCAGGATTAGCGCGGCGCTTCGCTAGCCCTGGGAGAGCCACGCAACGTCGCGGGGCTCTCCCAGGGCTAGCGAGACCTTGCCGGCACCCAGAAGCTTGGGGCGCGCTGAGCTCCGCGCGCCCCAAGCTTCGGGATTAATGCAGCGCTACGCTAGCCGCGGCTAGCGGATAGCTTCCTGAAGCCTGGAGAGCGAGAGGGGTCGGTGCGCACCGACCCCTCTCACTCTCCAGGCTTCAGCGAAAGCCTGCATTCGCTCCATAGGACGCACACACATTTTCCCTTGCTTTTTAGGAGGGAAAAAGTGCGTCCTATGGTGCGAAAAATACGGTAAATGACTTCTTCTATATACTCCTCATTCTCAAAGGCTGGCCACATGCTTTGAGCTATGCACTACTTTCTGTAAATATGAAGATTTCTACTCCAGCTATGATCTGATATAGTTATCTAGTACATATGGAAATGCCCTAACATCCCATTTGTTCACTGAAGGAAGGGAGCCATATAGATTAAAGATGTTTACAGTAACGGCACAGTCAAGCAATGGTTATATTATCCAGATGCTCATAATGGCTGTATTTCCACTTCCAACAGTTCAGACACATAGGGTCATACTAGTGCTATATGCCTGCTTTAGTTAGGGAATGTTGCAGAGCTAATTCAGGAGTGTGAGAAGGTACCTTTTGAATGATTCCTGTGGCACGTAAAATTACATTTTCACAAAACTGAGTAGCAATGAATAAGAGACAAGACAATTTTTGGTCTAGTTCTTTTAAAAGGAGATAGAGAAATTCAGTGGAAAAAATATAAATTGATTGCAAGTTCAAAGAGATACAAAGACCAATTCCTTTACCCAATTGGCATAGGATAAAGAGTCAAGTCACACAACGCAACAGATGTGTCAAGAATGGACCCATAGGCATAGCCAAGGGGGGGGGGAAGCAGCTGCCCCTCCCAATCAATAAAAATACAGTGGAACCTCTACTCACGTACAGAATCCGTTCCAGAGGTCTGTTCGTGAGTCGATCCGGGTTGCTGGGAGAAGCGCCATTCCACGCATGCACATTCATTCGGCGGCAGCGCCATTCTGCGTATGTGCAGACGGTGGCAGCCACTTCTGCGCATGTATAGTTGGCAGAAGTCGTTTCTACGCGTGCGCGAATCGCAGCAAACCCGGTATTTACTACCGGGTTCGCCGTGGTCGTGAGTCGGATTGTTCGTGAGTAGGGGTGGTGGTAAATTGAGGTTGTACTGTACATTGCTAACTGAGGTTCTGCCCCTCCTAACAAAATAGCTGCCCCCCCACAACAAAGGCCTGCCCCCCTAACAAAAATCCTGGCTACTCCCATGAATGGACCCATGAACAAACTTGCACTTGGTGAAATGGGTATCCTCACCTACATTTACAGTAGGCTGAGCAGTAGCACAATACAGTGGTACCTTGGTTTACAAACTTAATCCATTCCGGAAGTCTGTTCTTAAACCAAAGTGTTCTTAAACCAAGGTGTACTTTCCCTTAGCTGCAGGGGACTCAATTTACAAATGGAACACACTCAACAGGAAGCAAAACATGCTCTTATTCCAAGGCAAAGTTCACAAACCAAAACACCTACTTCCAGGTTTGCGGCGTTCTTAATCCAAGTTGTTCATAAACTAAGCTGTTCTTAAACCAAGGTACCACTGCATATGTGTATTAAGGGGACCAGTTAATAAATGGAGCAGCAGCAACACAACCATTTCACTATGTCATGCACTTTGCACAGAGCCAGTTTGATTATTTACCCACAAATGCTGTCAGAACAGTTCGGTGAAGAAATTTATCTTTTCATTGTCTGAAACTAGCTAGTGCTCATAAAGCTCTCAAACGTCAGCCAAGAATCAGCCAGAAACTATAATGTAAACGTGTTGAAATAACAGCCCTTCTCTGGCAACTCTATGCAGAGCAAGAACCACAAGACAGACAATGACATGAATAATACAAGCCAGCTTGAGTAGATAGAGTGCCTTTTAGTCAAGTAGACCAGTGTTTCCCAACCTTTTTTGGGCAAAGGCACACTTGTTTCATGAAAAAAATCTCGAGGCACACCACCATTACAGCCCCGTGACGTCAGCGCGCAGCGTCACGCCGGGAGGGACGCACGAAAGTGTAAGTTTCAATTTTTTTCCCTCCCCCTTGCCTTCCTTCTGTGCCAACCGCCAAAAAGCCAAGAAAAAAGCCAAGACTTTAGGGCAGCAGGTCGACACGGAAGAAGCTCCTACCTAAGGACAGGTGCGACGGCCGTGTCCTCTTCTGCCACACTTGGCAGCCCTGCCTCACGGTCGTGACTCCCACCCTGATTTCTCCCCGCAGGTCGAGCGGCACAGGCAGCCCAATGTGTCCAGCCCAGACACAAGCCCCGCTTCCCCACTCTAGATCCTGAATGCGACCAAGTGCTCTGGACTCCCGAGCAGGGTGGGAAAGAGGACTCGCATCTGGTAGCCTCCGGGCTCCTCGCCTGCTCGAGGGATGGCATTGCAGGCAAGCTGCCGGCCGTCGCCATCGCCGCCCCCTCATGCGAGTGGACCTGCCCGGAGTGGTGGGCCGGGGGAGGCTCGCTCTCTGTGGGGATGTGGCCCGCACGCGTGGCCCCGCTTCCTCCTGCCCAGGGCTGAGCTCCTTACCCGCGATCTCGGTCTCGCGCACGCGGATCCCACTTATTCTGAAGCTCGCACCACTAGCCGGGGCTCTCACACCGTGCCAGGGCGAGGCGGCGCGGCCCACTGACATCATCGCGGCTCGCCGCCGCCCTCGACTTCCCTGTTCCCTCCCCTCCCTCGGGTCGCCGTGGTTACCAAGGACTGCAAGCTGCTCGGGCGAGCGTGGGGCATTAAGTGGGAGAAGGAAAATTAAAATTAAAACTCGCCTGAAGGCCGCCTCTCCGGATACAGTGGTGCCTCGCAAGACGAAATTAATTCGTTCCGCAAGTCTCTTTGTCTTGCGAGTTTTTCGTCTTGCGATGCACGGTTTCCCATAGGAATGCATTGAAAATCAATTAATGCGTTCCTAGGGAAACCCGCCTTCAGACCAGGTCCGGGGACAGTCTGTCCCCCGACCTCTTCTGAAGGCTGGGGGGGGGACAAGGGCTTTTCTTCCCACCCCCAGCATTTTAAAAAACCCCGGGACAGCGGAGGACTTCTCCGCTGTCCGGGGCAATCTTAAAATGCTGGCGGGCGGCATTTTAAAATCGCCCGGGACTTCTCCGCTGTCCGGGGCGATTTAAAAGCCCCTGGGAAGGCAGGCAGGGGGGACAAAGATTTCGCCCCCCGCCCGCCTTCAGAAGAGGTCCTGGACCTCTTCTGAAGGTGGGCGGGGGCGAAAGTCTTTGCTCCCCCCTGCCTGCCTTCCCGGGAGAGCGGAGCAAGGCAGCGCGTTTCTCCGCTGTCCCGGACGGCTTTTGAAGGCAGGCTTTTGAAAGCCGTCCGGGACAGCGGAGAAACGCAGCGCGCCCTTGCCGCTGCCCCCCGACTTGGCTGGAAGGCTGGCGGGGGGAGAAGCCTGCTCCTCCCCATCGCCAGCCCCGCAAACTCGGGGGACAGCGGGAGAGGCGCAGCGCGCCCTTGCCGCTGCCCCCCGACTTGGCTGGAAGGCTGGCGGGGGGAGAAGCCTGCTCCTCCCCATCGCCAGCCCTGCAAACTCGGGGGACAGCGGGAGAGGCGCAGCGCGCCATCCCGCTGTCTCCCGACATGGTTTGGAGGCTGGCGGAGGGCTTCCTCCTCCCCCAGCCCCGCAAGCTCCCAGAGCGATGCCAAAGCTGCGCGCAGCTTCGGCATGGCTCTGGGTCCCGTTCTGGGGGAGGGGGAAGCTCGGGCTTCCCCCGCCCCAGCCCCACGCCTGGCGGTGGGGGAATAATTTTTTTCCCCTTTATTCCCCCCCCCCCCGCCAATTTTTCCCGCGGCACACCAGGCAACGTCTGGCGGCACACTAGTGTGCCGCGGAACACCGGTTGGGAAACACTGAAGTAGACTACACAATACAGTCTCTTATTCAGGCACTGCAGATGCTCAGGATATTTCAGAAAGACTGAAATATATTTGATTGCCATGTTAGTCTGTTGCAGCAAAAATAACAAAGTCATGTGGCATCTTAAAGACTACTGTTTTGAGTTACCACTGTTAATTGGGAAATTATCACTGCCTCTGTACTTTTTGCATTTCCCTATAGTCCCTTTGCCTAGTGGACAGTCAACTGCAAAATTAATTTCAGAAGCTCACCTTTCATAGTGCCAAGACTGATTAAACGCTAACCTCTTCGAGAGCTAATTAGTTTATTACATTCCAACCTTTATTTTCAAGTAAATGAAGCTATTTAGCAAAATTCAGACAGAATGGGCCTGACTGTAGATATGCAGTACAAATGCCTTGGGCAAGGAGGATCCTAAACTATTTGAACTATGCATAGTTCTGTTGGCCAGTATCAATGAGAAACATGATCTCTACAGCAAAAGGTACCTTTGTAAAGTAAAGGGGGGGTGGAGTTCTTCGGTTTTAGCACCTGGGCAAACCATCTCTCCTTACTTTAAAAAAATAATAATAATAATGAAAGATTCAGCAAGCATGTTCCATTGTCAAATACTGCCATCTGATGGTAACTTAGTGGGTTTGCACCAATTTAAAGCACCACACATGAGGTCTTAAATGTAATTCAAAAAGTTTACATGCAAGTATGTCACATGTGGATTTGTTAAGCTAGAAGCCTGCAGGCAAGGCCTGTCTAATTTTTATCTACATACGTTGCCTAAACAATAGTGACACTATTAAAGCGGAGAACAACATGGTTAACATTAATGCTGTACTGTTTTTAACACTTGATTGGAAGCCGCCCACAGTGGCTGGGGAAACTCAGCCAGATGGGCGGGGTATAAATAATAAATTTATTATTATTATTATTATTATTATTATTATTCTCTGATTTGACACTTACCAGGCATTTCCGGTGACGGTGTGGTCAAAGCTAAAAATCTCCTGGTGTTTTCTGCTTCTTCGGTAACCACGGAAGAACTTCGAGATGTCATAGACTGAACAATAAATAAATATATATTTATATAATACTGCATGCCAAAGAAAAGGTAGACCAGAAGATCCCACAGCTGTGCCAACTTTCTTGCATATGACAGTGACAGTAGAGCGAGGAATAGCCAGCCTCCCAACACTCTCATCTCTGCAGATGACCCTGGTGGGACTGGGGCAGAGCAGGGATGGGACGGGGGGTTGGGGTTGTGCAGATGCACTGGCTAAGTCAAAGTGAATGCTCATGTCAGTGCATCCGCACAGCCCTGACCTCACCCCCGACCTGCCCCATCCAGCTGCAGTGACACCAGTGTTGAGAAGGTGGCTCTGCAGCTCCACCTGGTAAACCCTGGCCACCACTGATCTCCAAAATGCTTGTTAGAACACTGTTTTAAAGGTATGACTAAGTACTGAGTAGCACAGGGGTCAGCAACCTTTTTCAGCCGTAGGCTGGTCCACCGTCCTTCAGACCATGTGGTGGGCCAGACTATATTTGGGGGGGGGGGGATGAATGAATTTCTATGCCCCACAAATAACCCAGAGATGCATTTTAAATAAAAGGACACATTCTACTCATGTAAAAATACGCTGATTCCTGGACCACCCACAGGCTGGATTGAGAAGGCGATTGGGCCGCATCCAGCCCCCGGGCCTTAGGTTGCCTACCCCTGGAGTAGCACATGCTTTTGTGAATACTGCATCAGGGTAGCACTTGTCATAAGATCAATAAAGACTTGAACAGTTCTCCCATATAAGGTCAACATCTGATTTTCTTAAGACATTGAGGAATTTAAATTTGAGTGAAATGCATCGTTTTAAATCATGCTAGTTTACATAAATGTTTGCTCACAGAAGAATTTTGAACTTAAATTGTATGTTTCTAACCTGAAATATTTTTTGTAACAGTTTTTATTCATTTTTATCTTTAAACTGTTTAACATGGTTGCTTTGTGATAGATATTTGTTTACATGATTAGATGTAATGTAATGCAACAATTACATTAAATTAAATTAAAAATGAAACTATAAACACTCAGATAAACAATTCTGAATATATTAACAAAGTTATTTCAAAGTGCATATATCAAAATTATTACAATTATTTCTAACCTGAAAATCTTCCCACAGTTTAGTTCTCATTTCCCTGCCTTGTTTTTTAATTGCCCTTTCTTGAGACTGTTTGTTGGCCAATATCTGGTCCAACCTTTCCATCTTCTTTATAGCTTTCAGGATGCGAGGATCTACATCTTTCTCCTTGGAGTCTTGCGGGTATGCAGAACTGACTGTCACTTAAAAATTAAACATATTAACAATAATTCTTATAAACTGCATTTCAAACTGCATATTAAAAGCAGAGATCTCTGGTAACACGACAGAAAAAAGATATCTGCCTCATGGTTAGATGGAGGGTGCTATCTTTTTCTCCATACAATTCACCTGTAATATACTGCCACTTCTAGAGGCTTTTAATTCAAAAGTTTTGAACAAGTGCTTTAAGTACCACATTTTCTTTTTTTACAATAATTTTTATTACTTTTAATACTAATCCAATAATAGCCACATTATCTCAAACCAAAGTACAATCCAATTAGAAAAACCACAAAGCAAATCATTCATAAACCAAATTAAACAATTTAAGGTGACTTTTCATGTACTGGGTATAAGGATACAAAGTTCTTATTTCTTCTTGCTTTTTTGCAACAGTTCAGGTGTTAATCCTTTGTTTAGCAGCCACTGGTTTCCTGACTTTCAATCGTAGTTACAAATTTATTAGCTTTTGTTTCTGCTAAAAGGAGTTGGCGTTTGTATCCAATACGTTTCCCGTATGAGATATTAATTTTCCTTCTATTTCTTCATTAAGGACCACATTTTCTAAGCTGCTGTTAAACTTTAGTTTTGTGTTTAAAGAAAAAAGAACCATTAGACCATCTCATTTTAAAAAAAGAAGGACTAGCAAATCACACTCAGAAAGGTTTGAAAACCTGAGATCGATCTAATCTGTATTCTGATTCAGGCATAGTCTGTTGCTACAAATTGGGGAGCAACCCAAAATCCTCCCTATCCTTATTTAGAACAGTGAAAACACAGCAACAGAGTTTTTAATATATGCTTGTTGTAAACAGCTTTAAGGTCTTTACAATTAATTGATATATAAATTTTGCGCAGACGCCTCCGGGAATACAGATTTTGCCATGGAGTCACGCTTGAGGTCATAGAGGGAAATGGAAAAGTACCGTATGGTGGAGCTAACACACTTGTGCCCACTGTCTTTCCACACACTCCGCCCCCAATGTTTCTTTAACTATGTATAGGGGTCAGCAAACTTTTCCAGCAGGGGGCTGGTCCACTGTCCCTCAGACCTTGTGGGGGTCCAGACTATATTGGGGGGGTGAATGAATTCCTATGCCCCACAAATAACCCAGAGATGCATTTTTAATAAAAGCACACATTCTACTCATGTAAAAACACCAGCATGCTCTGGTCCATGGGGTCACGAAGAGACGGACACGACTAAACGACTCAACAACAACAACAAAAACACCAGACGGGCCCCACAAACAACCCAGAGATGCATTTTAAATAAAAGGGCACATTCTACTCATGTAAAAACATGCTGATTCCCGGACTGTCCACAGGCCGGATTGAGAAGGCGATTGGGCCGCATCCGGCCCCCGGGCCTTAGTTTGCCTACCCATGAACTATGATAACAAATGCCTGAACAGAACTAAAATCTAGACTTTAGTCTCTAGTAGGGTTGCTAACACTTTTGCTAGCCTTGATCCTCTGCCTCTCACAGCAGTTTGACAAGAAGAAATTTTATACTTTCTGCCCAACACTGTATCTCCATTCACTTTCTAAATTCATGTGCATCCGGTTTCTGAAAGCATAGCAGCAGAGGCTGACAAAGTTGGCAACGTTAGATGTTGTTCTACAAAAATAAATCATTACAATAGGGGGTGGGGAACCTGTGGCCCTCCAGATCTTGTTGGACTCCCAACTCCCATCAGCCCTGGCCAATGTGGACAGGGTTGAAGGTAGCTGTGTTCCAACCACAAATTCCCCAGAATTACTATTTGCTTGATCTGGAAATAAAGTCACCCCAAGTTCTCTTAATCCACTATCTACTTATTTGTGACACTGAATAAACAACAACATGCACAACAGCATGTCTTCTCCAGGTTCAATTGCTGGCGAAACATTGGTTATACCTTTTGTTAATCTAGCTAATTCATTCTGAGGAGCATTGCTGCTACAAGACCATTTGTTTTCAGCCCAGTCATCTTCAGAATCTGCTGAGCTTGAGGAATATTCTGAAAAACAGAAGTCATGCATGAAATTAGCAGCACCTTTAGATTTGAACCAACAGTGAGATCATCATTACTACAAACTAAGAAACAACTTGGAACAGTACACAAGTATATGGAAGAGAAAGTTCTGTCAAATATCTGTGTAGCTTTAAACAATTTCTAACAGTACTACTTACACACTGATTGTTAACTACCTCACCATATTATATTAATATATTTTGTAGCTCACAGGAGAGTGGTGTTGCCACCCTTTTCTGGCACAACATGTAATTGAAATGGGTGCTGGACAGGCAGAAATTTAACAGGCAAAGCTTCTCCGGCATGAATATACTATTGTGATGGACATAATCATTTATTTCATTTCTGTCTGTGATGCAGCAATTAAAGGCCTACTGCGCAATCATGTTAGGAAACAAGCAATACATCTCCAGTGAAGAAGAGGCATTAGTTTGACCACCAAACCCTCTGGAGCTTGGTGCACAAATTATTATTAAATTATTCCATTACAGAAACTATTCAATCTAGGGCTGCATACCAGATCTGGCAGAGTCCCAAGCCAAACTGGACCCATATGGAGGGACTCAGGTATTGGATGAGTCAGGTTCAGACAGCCACAGATAGTTACAGGTCAGGTTGGCTGGCCTAGAGTGATCTATGTCTGTTAGTGGGCTGTGCATCAGGCAGAAGAGAATGCTAGGCAGGACAGGAAAACCCTCTACACCCTCTGCCCCATAGGATCACCCCCTCTACTCAGCAAGTTTTGAGCAGAGGGTGCAATCTGGGGGAGTGTGCAATCTAGGGACTGTATGTCTCAATCAGTTCCAACATTCACTGCACTTTTGCCCAGTATTTTGCAATTCACTGATAGGCGTGAGAAAATTTAATATAAAATAGGGCTCTAATCCCAGGAGCTCATGCTGTAAGACAAATATTTTACACAAAAGGAGATTACAACTAAGCATCTAGAAGAATTTTCTGACAGTAAGAGCTGTTCAACAGTGGAATGGTCTTTCTTGGGGGGTTGTGAACTCTCCTTCCTTGGAGGTTTTAAAGCAGAGATTGGATGGCCCCCTTCATTGCAGGGGGTTGGACTAGATAACCCTTAGGGATCCCTTCCAACTCTATGATTCTATGAAATAATTTTTTTTGGGGGGGGGGTCATCCAGCAGTCATTGTTCACCCAGCCTGCTATTTCTCCCTTGCTGTTCACCTTCCTTTTTATATTATCCCCCTCTCTATTATATTTGAAGCTGCAAGATTTCATCACACATCCTCCCTTATGTACTGCTCTAGTTCTGATTGGATCTAGGTTTCATAGACTCATTTAATAGCTGAGCACATTCTCAGCAAAACTTCCTGTTTCCCCCACCCCAGGGGACCAACTATTACATTAACTTAGATAAACTTTTGTGAAAATCTTTTATCATGTGCAGTATCCATTAAGCTCGAGTGACTTTTCAAGGACAGGACTTATCACTTAATTAATAACAGTTTATTCGATTGTGTGAATTGGCCCCAAGTCTAAAAGCCTACTGAGGGTTTGAAATAGAAGAGAAAAGGGGAGGTTATTCTGGGTGCAGATTCATTGTGTAAATAATATGTCTTCCTCTTGTGATTTGATTAATTTGTACAATACTTGAGTCATACTTGAAGCAGCAGAAGCAGGTCAAAGTGCAAAATTCTGCTCTCAAATATATTTAACCCTTCTTTTTTATCTACATTCAGAGAATTTCTCAACTGAGTTTCTAAAAAGCTAAGAGAAGAATATTTATATAGTTCTGTAACTTTAATATTGAGTTTTCCCATAGAAAACCAAGGTGGCAACCCTAACACACACTAAGGAATAGGTCCCACAGAACACCTTTTTGTAAACTGCTTTGAGGGTGGCTTTTTCTTTTCTTTTTTACAATCATGCAGTATATAAATTTTATGAAATAAATAAAATAACAAATGCCATTGAATTTACTTGTATGTAAACAAGCACTGTACGCATACTAAATTTCATACCTTTTACCTGATTTGTACTCTGTATTATCAGCTGGAAACTACTATTCATTTTTTCTTCAGATATGACTTCTGAGGTTCTCATTTTTTTGGTTCCATATTCCTCTCTATTTTCATCATAATTTTCTTTTGACTCATGTTCTTTGTGATCATTATAAAAAGCAACCTAGAAATGATTGCAGAAATAGAAATTTGCTACAAGCACATTGGTCACAATTTCTCCTTATTATCATTTGGAACCATAGATAAAATTTCCTTTTTAATGTAATTTCAGATGAAATCTAAAAATCTGATAATACATTACAAATATTTATAAACTACTGTATTCATATTTTTTTAAGTCTTGGGAATAGTCACTTATTTAGTTGCCTGTGCAAAGAATTACTTCCAAGTGACCAAACAAATAAGCTTTACAGCAGTTGGCTCTCTCTTTATTTTATGCCACATATCACAGTGCACAGGCAGTCTAGCAAAATGTTTATGGCCTTATTTCCTAGGTTGTTTTAAACAAAGCAAAAAGAAAGAGAAAGAAAGGGGGTTAGGGGAGGACAGGTAGTGAATGAGAGCAAAAAACTACAAGAGTATCAAGACGCATGTCCCTCCTTCAAAGTATGATTTATATACACACACACACACACACACACACACACACCATAGCTGTCAACTTACAGATTGAAATAAGGGACCAGCAGCAAAATAAGAGACCTGCAGCCTCACCTGCTCCAGGCACTCCATCTTCCTGTCCTCCTGCAAGTCTGGTCAAACTCATGCTGGTAGCTTCGAGAACACTGTCCAACCAACTTTGTAACCAGAGGTTCAACTGAATAGAATCTGAATCACATGCACCACAAGGCCTATGCAGCCTCAACTTAAGATGGCTCCCCGGCCTGGCTTTGCACTGCAAAGTTTGCAGCAGCACGTGCAACAAAATGGCGTCCAGCATTCAAAAAACCCCTCAGCTTGCATTAACTAGCCACACACAAGGCATGCAAGCTCCACCCCCCAGTCGTTCTTAGACTTCTTATTGGGTGAGCAACACAGCCAAGCAACACAGTTGGAGCCTCCCTCCTCCTGGCCGGCAGGGTGGGAAGGAGAGGAGCTGCTTCCTTTGAAATTTAAGGGACATCATTTAAGGGACATTTAAGGGACATCCATTAATAAGGGACAGCAGCGGGACATGGCGCTGGAATAAGGGATTGTCCCTTCAAATAAGGGACACTTGACAGCTATGACACACACACACAATTCATTTAATAAATGAATTGTTTCAAAACATGGGTGGAACCTAATCATTTGTGCAGATGCCTACTTTGAAAAAATATGGGATACACCCACAGGCAGAGGAGGGGGGGACTTTTGCCAATTCCTTCTTCCCCCTGAATAGTTACTCCAGGTGGTTGGGGGTCCCTCCAAAACAGTGTGGGGTGTGGCACTGGAGACTGGGGTGGGGACAGGAATTGGCAAAAATCACCTGTCCCATTCCTCCAACAGGATCCTCCAATGGATCAGAGTCTCTACCATGAAAGAGGATTTGAGGGATGGAGCCAACCCGAAATACACTTTATTATGAAAACATAAAATATAAGTACAGTGGTACCTCGGGTTACATAAGCTTCAGGTTACATATGCTTCAGGTTACAGACTCTGCTAACCCAGAAATAGTACCTCGGGTTAAGAACTTTGCTTCAGGATGAGAACAGAAATTGTGCTCCGGCTGCACGGTGGCAGCAGGAGGCCCCATTAGCTAAAGTGGTGCTTCAGGTTAAGAACAGTTTCAGGTTAAGAACGAACCTCCGGAACGAATTAAGTACTTAACCCGAGGTACCACTGTACCAAATATGGGTTTTTCAAGGACTGTACCTCACTAATGTCACTATAATTATAAACATTAACAGCATCTCTCACAAAAACTTGAAAACACTGTAGAAGAAAGAGCAAGAAAAACAGTGGACATAATAGTTACCTTAGGCAGGCTTGGTGCTGGTGTTAAAATCTCTAAGGATGTGCTTAAAACTTTGCTCCCATGATTAATTCTTGAGCTAGATGCTGGCCTTGAAATGTCATCCAGGCTTCCCCTTGTAATATCCATTAAAAACTGAAATAAGCAGATAAAGGGAGCACATTATATGGCATGTATTAAATTAATTTGATATTCATCAACCTGCCGTTCTCTTCCACATTTTCCACACAGCGTATATTAGATAGATACAGCACCCCTCTTTGGATATTCTTGTCATGACTTAGGTAAAGACGTGAGGAAGGCCAGCAAGGATACACAGGCTAGTTCTGCCTCCTGTCACTGTTCTTGCCATCCTTCATGAGCAGGAGGGCAAACTTGTGAAGTGGGAAGCCTTTTGTTTTGTTTTTATGTAATTTTTATTAAATTTTCTGTTTTACAATTTAAAGTACTCATTTTTAGATCCTTAAGATATCAATGACTTTCCTTCTCTTTCCATGGTTCATTTTACATAGCATAAATCCCTGCATAGTTTACAGAAACTATACTATTCAGTATTCCATTATTACATCCATCATAACTTATTTACACTGCTGAATTTATCCTAATGCTGCCAGTGTTTTCAGCTGTACAGTTATTTCCCATATATTCAATAAACGTTTTCCAATCTTCTCTAAATGTATGAAATCTGCAAGCTGTGCATATTCTGTCAACTTACATTGCCACTCTTCTTTGGTTGGGACCTCGCTCATTTTCCATTTTGGGGCTAACAAAACACGGGCCGTATGTATGCAGTTGTTGCATACAACAGAAAGAACTCTGGGTTTTTTGGGAAAGTACTTTTAAACATTTTTTCCCCAATTCATTATGTATCATTTCCCAAGGAAGCCTTTTGTATTCTTGGAGGCTGTACGTTTTAATATTCTGGAAAGTTATGGTTCCAAAATGCACAGTAAGTCTCTGAACGTACAGGAGGATTCTGACTTTACAGGTTCAACCTTCAACTCATAGAGGGGGATCAGCACAGTGACGGGCAGAGCTTGTGCACTTCTCCCCATTGCCCTAAATCTCATTAAGAGAACCCAAAGAGCACTATAGTTCCACGACCATATGGAAACAGTAGGGTGTTAGTTAATGGCATGATCCCATACACAAATTGGTACAGTGATTATGGGCGTAGCTAAGGAGGGCCAGCTCCCCCCCATCAAGTAAAACAATAGAAATACTTAACTGACTGACCAATCATACTAAAATGAGGCTGCATATTAAGCTGTATTTTGGGCTGTGTTTTGGTTAACTGTTTTTGGGTTTTTTTCCTATTGCGTTTTGTTGTGGTTTCTGTTTGGTGTTGGTCGCCCTGGGCCCGGGCCTGGCCGGGGAGGGCGGGATATAAATAAAATTATTATTTTTTATTATTATTATTATTATTATTATTATTATTATTATTATTATATGTTGGTCGGGAAATGTTAACTTGCCCCGCAAAGTAATAAACAACAACAACATGGCCATAATCTGCAAAATTCTCCCTGCATTAACTCACCCCGCGCAGGTTCTCTGCAGAGCGCTCCAGCGGACGGAGCGAGCAAAACGCCTCTGTAAACAGACAGCCATGAAGACGATACGCTTCTCAATTGCTATGGCAACCCATTCGAAGAGCAGAACCCGGAAATAAGGTAGACACTAAGGGCGGAAGTGAGCCCTGCGCCTTCTCGGAGTGCTGCTGAGCATGCGTACCTGGGAAATGCCCGTTGAAACCCTTTAGCGACGTTCTAAAACAGTTAAATGAACGCGTGGCTGCGGAGCCTGGAGATGCGCCTGATCTTACATATTATGAACTAACCTGGATGTCCTCGATTCTGGCTCCTGCACTCAGGCGCGTCCGTATAGCCCACATGTGCTGCCGAAGCATGTTTCACCAACCCTTACCTTTAAGTTTGAGGATAATCTTCAGCCAGGATCAGGGTACCTAGCTCTCTTGCCGAAAACTGTTGCTTCCGTTTAAGACTGCAATCCAATGCACACCAAGCAGTTTCTTTTGTTTACTTTATTCCTGCAGGTGCAATAGGTAGTTTGTGTGGTGTATGCTTGAAATGCTTCAGTCCTGTGCGCACTTATTTGGGAGTAGGTACCATTGAGCTCAGCGAGGGTTGCTCTTGAGTAGAAAGATCCAGGGCTGCATTGTATCGGCCAGTTTTAATTTCCTTACACGTGCTCGCCGTTATTGCTGAGAACGAGACGGGGACTCTCGGTGTTGCCTGCAGTGTTTGTGGAGATGGAATTCTGAGGACTAAAGCAGTCAAGAGACCGGGAGGAATGGAGTTGTTTGTTTGCTGGTTGCATTTACATCCCACCTTTTCTTTCTCTATAATGAACCCCCACAAAAACCCTGTGGTGTAAGTTAAGCTGAGAGATACTGATTGGCCCAAGCTCACCACTCAGGGAGCTTCATGGCTGAAGTGGGCATTTGAACCCTGGTCTCCCAGGTCCTAGTCCAACACTCTAACCACTTCACCACACTGAGGTCGAGGTGGGGAGAGAAAAGATTCAGAGGTGGAAATCCACTAGTCTCTCATTCCATGCTGCTGTTACTGTATATTTGTGAGACTAGATCTGGTTCAATAAAGAAATTAAAGAAGAAACAACCCCATGTTAAAACATGCATTTATGACTATAATGCACATCAGAGTGATACGGTAATTGCTCTTTGATAAATATATATATATATAATATTTCATCCAGAAGATGGCGTCATCTGACTTTCAGTATATTACCCATTAAGCTAAAAGGGTCTGAGCAGGCATGCTTCCTGTTTAGGATGTACTAACACGTTTATAGGCTGGGAATTCTAAACTGGTATTCCTCTGGCAAGCATCCCCACCCCTACTAATAATTTAAATTGTGATTCCCCCTTGAATCTGCCTCTTCATTGACAGAGCTGCGGGCAAGGGAAACTGACTACAGCATGGAGCCAAAATCAGCATTGAGCTCTACAGTTATTGGGGTGGGGATGTCTGACTGTGTGCAGCCACTGTAGGTGAGGAATCTCTAAACATGAACCAGTGTCTTCAGCCTCGGGATGAAAGCTGGGGGGAGGTTTGATTATTCTCAGCCAAGCTGCTTATCAGCAGAACACTGCCCCACCCTTGACATCGCTGCTCTCCCATGAGCATTGGCAAGCAAGGTATAGGCCCAAAGTGAAGACCCTTCCCAACACTAAATGAGAGGATTTATTATTACATTTATATCACACCTTTCCACCAAACAGTTCAAGATGATGCACATGGTTTTCCTGCTCCTCATTTTATCATAACAACAACCCTGTCAGGTAGGTTAGAGGTGGTGATTTGCCCAAGGTCACCCAGTGCATTTCATGGTTAAGGGGAAATTTGAAGTCTGGTCTTCCAGGTCCTAGTCTGACTCTAACCACTACACCACGTTGTTCTGATATATCACTGAAGCCACTTGAGCTGTCACTCTGAGCTGCAAGTAGCACCAGCCTGCTGGGAGAGAACCCAAAGAGCAGCATTGATTTTGGCTAGATAGCACCACTCTCAGCCTTCCTTCCCAGCACTATCCTTCACATGGCATACTTTTAAATATTTCAGGAGGGACAGCCTGGAGGGTAAGAAGCTGTTCTTTGTAAGCCGCAGAGCACCATGTGAGGCTCCGTTTCTAACAACCTGCTTGTGAGGTCAAAAGCATTGTCTTGGCGTGCATTGTTGCATGCCTTGTGGGTCAGCTTACTGACCTGCATGAAATGGGAGGGTGGTCCAGAGACCTCTGCAGCTTCTTTCCACTGTAGCAGGCTGTGAGGCTGGACCACCTCCTGTTGCTCTGCAAGACAGTATTAGGAGTTTAGCCTCGGGGCTGAAAAGGTAGCCCAAGAGCAGTACGTGCTGGACTAAAGTTAGTTCTGCTATCCATCTTTATCTCTCGGCTGGCCACATCTCCTTGTGTGGGGGCTGCAGAAAAGTTAGATCAGATGGGACCAAAGGAAGCTTCTGGGCTGCCAATGGACCATTCCATCAGGACATTTTTCTGTTCATATGCTTTCAATCTGGTTCCGTATTAAACACAATCCGTTTTTGTTTTTTACAATCTGCTCCTGCTCCTCAAATTCTTCTTTCTCACAGCAGCTTAAACTTGCTTTTCCATAATATTTTCCTCCTTTCTGCTCTCCTCATTTGGGTAAGACTTCCACTTATTTAAAAGAAGCCCTCTAGTCTTTTATAGCTTCCTTGATTCTGCTGCTTAACCATCCTGGCATTCTCTTGGTGTGTTTCCTAATTTTAGGTGAACTTCTATTATTGTGGTTTTAAGTAACCCCCCCCCCAATGTGTTTGATCCTTCTGGCCTTTCCTTTTACTTTAGGAATGGGGAAGCTTTTTGTCCTCTTTGATCTTTCGCTCCCACCACCCTGCAAGCCAACCCTCTGTCATCATGATGATGTCAGGTGACTGATAGGTGGGTAGTCCCATCCAGCTCTCAGAAATGACCCATGGGGGGTGGGGTAGGGAGAGGTCTCTTTTGCCACCGTGTTTCCTGTAGGGAACATGCTGAGTAGCACCGGGCAGGATTGAACTCTCTGTTCACCAGCTGATAAATGGAGGGTCCAGTTCTGCTCTCTGCAGGGGTCTGCTTTGCCAGCACATTTCCCCCCAGTGATGTTAGCTAATTGATGAGTGGGCATGGTTTGTGAGAAGTGGCCTTGCAGGACAATTGGACCTCAAGACAGACCAAGACTCACACATGGGCTGGAGGTTCCCCACCCCTGATTTAACCAATGCCCCCATTTTTATAAGTTTTCTCTCTTTTGAAATGAAATGTAACCATGCTGGACTTTCTGGGCAATTTTACACTTACGTGCATTTTTGTTTCCAGTCAGTTTTATTGAATTTGAGAACATCAGTTCCTATAGGCACACCATTCAGGCTCCTATTACTTGGCTTCCACACACTGTTGGGGATCAGCATACTGCAATCTGTGTAAGTGGAGCTGCTTGTAAAGTAGTTTCCTAACAAGCTGACATGAAAACCTCTGAGAGCTCTCTGCAACTCATGAGCACATTTATTATTTTTTATTGCTGCTTGTTCCACACAGAGACAGGCAAGAATTGCCACCAGCCAGAGTGCTGTTCTAATAGTTGATGAAATGGGTTTAATAAGGCTCTCTTATATCAGAACAGACCTGCTGGGCTCATCAGTCTCTGGGGATTCTCGACAAGGAGCAAGTGTCTGCCTGCAAAGGTAATCATGCAACCAGAAGCAAAGATGATCTTGCATATCTGCCAGTGCTCATGCAGAATCCTATACAGCTGGATTGTGATGCAAACCAAAATATGATGTAAACTTTCTGGACTTGTTGCAGCTTATCTCTCTCCTGCTGGCTCTGTAGTCTGTTCTGGTAAAGCAAGCTAAATTAAAGAGCCCTGCTGGCGTCACAGAGCATGAACTTTTGATGTTGGCTGACAATACTGTTTTTATACAAAATCAAGCCTGTTTCTGCTTTAACCGAAGACATTTTTGAGCTAGAACACTTTGAAGCCATTTCAAAATATGAGGTCAATTAGAGTAAATTGGAAATAATTAATGCTAATCTTCTGCTGATATTAAAAACCAGTTGCAATCCACTCTGCTGTTCTTATGTTCTTTCCTTGGAAACAATTAGACACCAGTTATTCGCCTCTGTTCTATATAGTTGTGAGGGGCACTCAATTCTCACCTCGGGAGAGTGTGCTCATATCGCTTTTATTCCTATATCTTGGCAAGACTTGTATTGTTGTTTCCGGCTCCACTATATATAGGTGCAGCTTATATTCGCAACCTTACGGTATGCAGCAAGGAGCTCGGGGCAACAGCGCCAGGAGCGTAGCGATGCCCACCCCACACACAGTCCCGTCCTCTCACCCAAGGCCGGGAAGGGAGAGCAAGGAAGGAGAAAGGCCGCTGGCAACGCAGCGCAGCTCCCCCCACCCAGTATGCAGCCAGGAGCAGCAAGGAAAGTGAGTGTAACACTTCAGGTTACAGATGCTTCAGGTTACAGACTTCGCTAACCCAGAAATATTACCTCGGGTTAAGAACTTTGCTTCAGGATGAGAACAGAAATCGTGCGGCGGCGGCGCGGCGGCAGCAGGAGGCCCCATTAGCTAAAGTGGTACCTCAGGTTAAGAACAGACCTCCGGAACAAATTAAGTACGTAAACAGAGGTACCACTGTATTTGGGTATTTTTTTCCCCCTCCCCCCCTCCAATTTTAAAGGTGAAGCTTATATTCGAGTGCGGCTTATATTTGGGCCAATTCAGTAGTTTATTCTAAGTTACTTCACCTGGTTTAGCCTTATCAACATTTAGGATTCCATCAGCTTTAAAAGGAACAACCTATTAAGACCAGTTTTTCTGTCCTTAATTTTAAGCATGTTTTGGGTTGTATCCAATTGCACCCTTCCGTGAACCCTTAGCTTATATGCTGCCCTTTGTAATGTAAAATACTACACTGAATCCAGCTCCTGAAGCTTTAAGTTGCTATTTGAGAGAGGATGTTTCCCTCATAATCCTGGGCTTCGAAAATGAACCTAGGAGAAGTGTTTGATAAACATGACTGGAAAGTAGATTAATATGAAGCAGAAGGAAATTACGGTAATGTTCTTGACATTTTGCCACAACGTCTGCTGTAAGGCAGATGTGGTTCACATTGCATTGCTACTA